AAGATACACTTTGCACTATTTTCACACGTTGATTCGCTAAAAATTATGTACAGCATCTGTGTAATTAATCATTTTCATCATCGATTTATATATTTATAAAATTAATTAGTGTAAAGAACAATAGGCGGAGTTTTTTTTGGTACACTGAGAAGCTGCTTTAAAAGTTACAGAATCAAGGTCAAGGCCACTCAGAAAGTTTTCACCTTTTTGCACAACTTTACGCACATTCGTGTTTTATCGCACATCCAATTCACAAGGGACGGAGCTAATATGCACGATACTTTTGGCTTTAAGAGCATTACAACCAAAATATCCAACAAACTCTCGTGTAATACTTTTTAATTATTTTAACATCTACGTTAAATAAACAGATGAGTAGACGAATCTCGTGAACTATTTAAGTACAGAAAAATCCCATTAAATTATAAAAGTTACGATTGATGCAATACACTAAACTGATTTAAAAAGTGGAGGGTAGAATTAAAATACGTTTAGCGGTGTCTTAAAAAATATAGTCACTGTAACACTGATATTTTATCACAGTGTGTGCAGTTTACAAACGTTTTGACAAACAAAATTTATTTTTATCCATAAATTTTCCGGAAATGGGTTAGAATTTAATAATACACGTTGTATAATTTTAGGTCACGAATTAACATTGATTAAAATGATAACGTTTGGTGTACCAACATAAAGTTCAAATGAATTTCAACGAAAAAGTATCAGCACCATGTGTGATTTGTTAAATTAAAAATAATTTTCATCGCAGACCAAATCAGTTCACTCACACGATAACAATACAGTTTCATACTACTTTCTCGCAATCTCAGTATGTCACAAACGTATACACTGAAATACAACAGCCGCTATCGGACCGGCGTACACGTTTTACGTACATAAGCAAATGATTCCAAGCGAAAAACAGCTTTTCAGCATTGTTAAATTAATAGCTTAAAAATATATAAACGCTGTATTCGTTACTCTGAACATTTACAAACTTTTCTGCGTTATTGTGAATCCCATCTTTACGTGCTCTTTACCATACAATAAACAGTATATAGTTTTCGATAAACATAACAATAATTTTTTTTTAAATGGGGGAGAAAAGGGAGATCAAATAATATCATTGATTTAGTTTATTTTCATCGAGCATCTCAATAATTATTTTATATAAATTTGTATTGATTGTTAATGAAAAAATTCCCGTGGTCGCAAATTTTTGCTCAATCCCCAAAATATTTATGAAAGTTTTTGCGATCGTCTTCGCACGAACGCCTTTCTAGCTAATATTTACACACTTTAGTCTTGTTTTTTTCTTCTTCATATTTTCCACAATTTCCTCAATAAGTACAAAGAAAAAAAAACGACTGTGATGTTATTGGCCCTTTTACGTACACATTAATGTATTTTTATAAATAAATCTGATTCTATAGAACCTGATTGATGCGAAAAGACTGCAGAGAATCAGAAAACTTTTCTTTCGCTCATTATTCTTGAATATACACTCAAATCGTCGTGTGCACGTATGTGCGTCTCTGTGGCATTTGTTTTATACATCTCGGTGATAGAGAGGATGACAATTCGACACACGCGATATTTAAAAATGAGATTGATTTTTTTCAGTCTCCATAAAAGACGTATTAAAATTTTTTAGGCAGGCATATTTACAATTGGTTTTTGTATCACTTGCTGTCACTGCACTGTTAGCGTGGGAAAATTGTTCACTTCAGTTTGTTCAAGAACTGGTCCTGAAACTCCTGTATAAGATATACGAAGTCGCATTCTCAATGCTCCCTGAAAAGTCAATGCAAAATTCAATGTCGATATCAAATTTTTTGTAATTTAATTTGGGAAAACTAATGAATCACCTTATTTATATTCGCCACTTTCAGAACTTGTGTTACGTGTCCTGAAGGTGAGAGTAAAGTGCCCGATGGAGGCAACATTTGCAATTGGAATGTCTGTAAAAATTTAATCATCAAATTACTTTGTTCAAGCTATTAGATCACGTTACTTTCTTACCTTTGGAACGGCAGCTTGGAATAAGAACTCGGTAATTTGTGATGATCCCGAATTAAGAGCCAGCATGTTAATTACCAACAAATCTGGATTCTCCATTGACCTTTCTAATTTAAAAGTAATTTTCAATCCCTGCTTATCAAAAACAACCATACTCGAGGCTTCTGTAATAAAAAATTTTGAATTAATAAAATTTTTTTTTCTTCAAACCATTAAACGTGTAGAACAAACTTACCGTTTTGAATCGGTGAGGAAGAATTCAGCAAGCCATCAACAAGATAATTGCTGATACTCGTTGGACTAAAAATCTGCTGTGGAGGCTGTTGTTGGGATATCGTTGGTGCTGGTGCGGACGACGAAAGATCCAAACCTCCAAGTAAATCCAGCAAGTCGTTATTATTTGTAACAGGCGTTATGGCAACGGGAACATTTCCAGGTGGTGCGCTCGAGACGGGTGAGCTCAACTCACTTCCACCAAGCAAATCCAAAAGAGCACTCTGAAAAGAAAAGTTGTATCATGGTTTTTAGCTCTTGTACCGACTTTTAGAATTAATGAGTTGAAAAGTTGGAGTCCACAAAAATGACTTACTGAATCAGATGGAGGAGCAGTATTAGCAGCTTCAATAGTAACAGGTTTCTCTTCTTCCACTTCTGGATCACCATTTACCATACCAATTATTCCATTGGCTTGGGGCCTTGCAGTTTCCATGGGAGGCATTCTTTCTAGTAACGCAGGTCGTAAGTGATCATACTTTTTGAACAATTGTGAAAACTCAATTCCTCTTTGCTGCAATTCGATATTAAGGTTGCTACCGAAAGTGTCGATGATGTGACGAATTTTCCTGTAAAATGGAGGTGGCGTACTGCAAAAGTTTTACTACATATATTTCGAAAATGAAAATTCACATGCACGAAGGTAAATCAAAAGAGTGCCTTTAGTAAAATAACTACAGATAGAAAAATTAAAAACTATGAAGATTGAACCTTCCTGTGTTTGATCAGAGATTCAAGCGTTCTAAGAATGGTTATAGACTTACTCATTGCCTCGTTGAAATCGCGAACTTAATTTCGTGAGAGATAACAAAGTGTATTGCTTTGTTACTACCGTGTTCTGAGGACTCCATAACAATCTTTGGTACACATCAATAACATCATCTTCACTCAACTAAAAAAAAAATAAAAATAAAAACACATCAAGTTCTATATAAAATTTGACACTTGAACAACAGCTAACAATAAATATAAAAAATTACATTGACAGGGGCATCAGCATCTTCTGGATGTGGTCCGTACAAAAGTAAGTCTCCATATTCTCCAATGCACCAAGTAGCAACCTGAGTTAACGGTTGCTTATCGGACGTATCTTTTTCAAGTGCTCGCCATAATGCGCTGACGGCATAAACTTGTTGAGGTTGCGTCTCAGAAATAAGTTGTATTGTACAAGCAACGACATCATCTCTCACGTAATTTCCAGATGCTACTAAAACTTTAAACAGAGTTTCGAGATGCCAGCGTTTATTGGGCGAAAATCTCTCGGCAGACATGACGATGTTACTGCTGCACTGTGCCTTGAATTCGGGATCCGCACGCTCTAAAAATAACAGCAACTCCTTCATCATGTTTCTTATGTTGTTAGAATTAACAAGAGCAAAACTGAGTTCCATTGCACGACGTCTGATGGAAACATCGGGATCTTTTAAACATTCCTGAAAAAATTATTTGTTTTTATTATTATTATTTTTTTTTTTTAATAAAATAAATCGATGAATTGACATTTTACTTTCGAGCCTTTAACTCACCAAAATTGTTGATCTATGCCTTTGTACTGCACTAGTATCGACGTAGACCGTCTTTAACAGCGTGTTCAAAGCGACGTAACGAATATTCTTGTCGTTGTTAAGCAAAAATCTACCCAGAATGTTAACAGCTAACACACGCAAACCACTTTCAGATTTGATGTCCATGATCGAGAGAACCGTCTCGTATAAAATAGTATTGCCTACATTTTTGCTGGTTTCGGTATTTGTAGCGACCTGAGCGAGTATGTCGTTCATCGCCTCGGATGCGTCGACATCGTTTCGTCCCAGGATTCTGAGGAGACGTAAGATTTTCACCTGCAAGAATGGATCCGACACACCTGACACATCGTGCTCTGGAGAGTAGCCAGCCAGTATCAAGTTTTTTAGGATCCTGACAAGATTTGGTACAATCTGAAAAAAGGAAGCAAGGGTTACTTTGATTGTAAAAAAAAAAAAAAAAAAAAAAAAAAAAAAAAAAAAAAAAAAAAAAAAAAAAAAAAGCTGTGGGTTTAGATCCACATAGAGTGCAGAAGAGAACACCTGTGAACATCGAAATTACGAAGTATACGATGTAGTCCACTATTAACACTTTTTACAAGACATTAATAACAGTCAGGGATGGCAACTCTGGTATCATGTGGCAGGTACAATTTAGAATTTTCTATATTGTTAAAAATGCAGACGCGATAAGTATGCTCTGTACAATAGATAACGCTATTTTCTTATAACAGTCGAAAAATTAAATAATCGTGGATGTGAAAACTGTTCTAAAAGTTGCGATCCCTATCAAAACAATCGTTACAAAATACTTTTAGTAATTTTTTACAGAAATCAGAAATAAAGTATCCATAAATATAGTTAAGAATAAATAAACATTAATAGAAGATTATTTTATAGTACGTATGAACTTCCATATAAACATGCAGCACTATTACTGAATGAACGAAGTAAATAATTGATTACAAGTAGAAAAGAAAACAAAGCAAATTCTAAAAAAAAGATGATAATAATCATTGATCGACTGATTATAAAACTACGACGTTTGTGTTTGGATGAAGTTTGCGTTCGACTGTGAACAAAATAATTTGGAAAGACGACTTAGGTAAATGGCATGGAGCAAAGCCTGCATATCATTATGCCAAGCGAATCATGCGAAGAAAACACTTAGCGTTTCGCAATTACCTCTCGATGGCCGCATTCCTAAATTGGACAAAATTATAAATTTTGTAGTTTCAAAAAATTTCTTTCAAACAAATAAAACGAATGTCTTGCATTAATTACACGATTTTCTGAGCCATTTATAAATCATACAAGACATTGCTAAGGTCTAAGTATACCTAAAGTTTCTGGCGCATAGCAGTTATTAAATTTTTTTTTCATGTACGTTGAAAGTGTAAGTATCCAAGGGATAATGAAAGACATTTTAGTAGAAATCTGACCTTTTTAAAATGATTCAACGTGTCCGGGCTGTTTTCGCACATTTCCGTGATTAATGTGACACCAGTGATAAGCACCCCGTGATTCTTTTCAGTAAGCAAACTTCTTGTGGCTGGTAAGAACATTTCCATCAGCTCCGGCACTCGTCTGATTATTCGAAATGCACAGAGAGCTGCTTTTTTTCTTATGTACGCGTTTGGCGACTTCATTAATCTTTCAACTTCCGCAGCGAGATCTCGGGCCATTTCCGGCGAAGCTATCGCACCAAGAGTACATAATGCTAAACCAATCACGAATTGTGTTGAACTGTTTAAGTCACTGTGATGATAAAAAAACCATAAATTAATTTATATAATTTTCTTATTTTGAAGTTAAAAAAAAATATTGTGCTGCTCAATATACTTTTTCAAACAATTCGTGATCAATAAATGGACATCTTGTCTTTCATCAAGAAGCAGCATTGCTCCTAAGTAACCGATTCTCTTGTCAGTGAACCTTGAAGATGCAATTAATTTTAAACATTCCAACTGTCCAAAATGTGCTGGATATCTGAAATCATTACATTAAAAATATATAAAACTTAACAGAAATACATATTAGCTTTTCGTAGCAAATACATGCATTTGATTGAGATAAACTCATCTTAACTTTAGCTATGTATCAGTAAAATTTTATTCAGACTCAAGTAATCCGATCATGATTAGTTTAAATAAAATTTTATGAATATTTGTGTGATTACATTATTTTTGAAAGCGTTCATACCCTAACATATGGATGTATAAAAGCTTGGCAATATTGCGACATCTCCAAACACTGTCCTCTTCTCTGAATGTGGATCTGATATACGCACACTCTTTGTTGACCACTGTTCTCTCCTCGTTAACAGTTCGTGCTGCTCTGATTTGTCTGATGAGATCCCGGAGTCGCGTAGGAGCCGGCATTCTCACTGTTGAAACTTGTAATTAACAATATTTTATCAGTGCACAGTGTGGTTAGATGGTAGCAATTGTGTTAGGTGCAGAGTTTTTTTTAATCCTACAGAAGTAATTTTTTCTAAAATTGTTTACTTGTAGATTTTCAATGGTTTGGATTTTTTTTACATTATATGTTCTGTTCATATGTAACATAAAATATTTTTAAAAATCTCCTCTACACTTCTCAACAAAACAAATGATTTAACGACTAACTAAGCGATAAATAAATGTTCAAATAGTTTAAAAACCAGTGTTATAATGAAATAAAAATGAAAAAGTTCGGTGTATCCAAATTAATGCAGTAAATAGTTTAAAATAAAAAAAACAAAAGTATGAAATAATTGGCAATAAATAAAGATTACCATTGAAAATAAATGATTTATGCAAAACAAGCAAAGCAGTGAAAATGATACAAAGAAGTTGTGCTCTGATAAGCAAATAAGAAAAAAAAGTTAATATGAGAATGTTAACAAAAAGAAACCTACCTCTTTCCACTGCCTCATTGATGGCTTGTTTAATGGAGGCCATGTTAAAGGCTGGGTTAAACCTGAAATAAGTACACACCCATGCTGTATCATGCACATTCAAACAAACTCAATTCAATATCATCGTTTTTTGTTGCCTTTTAATATTTGTAGGGCAATGACACAATGACATGGTTATTTCACGCGAGGATTTTTTGCTTTTAGTTCATTGTACTTTTTTCTTTTTTTAAATTAAAAATTAATTTGAAAAGGGGAAAAATTACCCATGTTCTGAGCCGTTCATTGTGCTTCAGCTTTTTGGTCAGCTGTTCTCCAGCCACTGTTGCAAAGACAAATTAATTATGACTTGTAGTTAGTAACAGCACACAACTCTGGCAGACTGTCTTGTCCTGTTAGACATACATTAATGATAACGATTTAACTTTGCTTAGTAAATAGTACTTTAAGATAATTAAGTTGAATCAAATGAGTATTTAAAAATAATAAGAAACAGAGCTCAAAGTACTGTAAAGTCGATGTTTAGTGTAAAACAGATGAAATAACAGATAAACCAGAGTATTATCAAAATATGGATGTTAAAAGTCTCACTCAATGCAAAAATTTCAAACAGTAAATTATTCAATCGATTTAAGGATTAAGTACCTTCAAACCCATCTGTGTAACAAGTCCTGTGACACAAAAATGTAGAGAAGAAACAGTTTAATTGAAAGGCCACTTCAAAGTAGTTCCTAACAGAATAAATCGTAATGATCTAATATTTTGTGCAATCAAAAATTCTTAGGGATTATTTTTAATGGAATGGAATAAAATGTTTGCAGTTCAAAATTAAAATCAACAGATTGTAGAGCAATATAATTAATAATGAAATAATGTCGTCTCAATGATACACTGCTTTTTCAATTGCTTTCAAGATGCATTGGATCGATACATACATCAACGTTCCACTGATCCACTGCCAATGGCAGTAAGATCAATCAATTGTCTCCAACTATAAATAACATTAGACTATAAATAAATAAATGAGTAAATAAAAGCGAAAAATTATCACGACATCTTGGTAGCAGAAAGCTTTTCAAAACATACCAATAACTATCTCCTTTACAAAAAAAAAAAAAAAAAAAAAAAAAAATCGAGAAGCAGAAGTAAAATAAGCAAAGCCCACAGGTTACAGCTGTCTGACAAGAGAAGCTGCCACGCTTGATAAGTATTAAGTATAGAAAAGTGGATGGTCCGAAATTTGCACACCATCAAAAACACAATTAAAATCAAATAAAAAAAATAAAAAAATGAATAAAGAGAGTACAGGGCATCGCAGATGAGAGAAGATACACTTTGCACTCCCTGGTGAGACTCTGTTCTTGGCACGCGCGCAACACCCACCTGCACGCGTATACGGATGCTCTTTTTTCTTCCTTGTAAGGCCTACTGAGAGAGCTGTACAAAAAATCACACCTGCTCAATCGTTTGTATTTGAACGTCTCCTTATAAGCTATAAAAAGGACGTGAGAATGGTCCTCTCGCTGGAGAAGAGACTTTGACTTTTCGGAGTCGCGTTACCGAAGCAAAAGCACACGACGACAACGACGACGGACCGCGAGCTTGGCGCCCCCACCCGCGCCTGTGTGTGCTAATGCGTAGGCCGCGAGCAAAAAAAAACAGTCTCGAGGAAATCTTGCCTTTTATTACTTTTTACTTATTCACTGCACAAGCCTCACTTTTGCTGCTGATAGCAAAGTACGCTTCACGTTTTCCTATATTATACCAAGAGTAGGATATTTTAAAAAAATTAGATACTGGTTTACTGGTATATATTAGAGTCACAGACAAAAATTTGAAATCATTGCGTTTGTACTCTATAATCGATAAACAAACTTGTCAAATTAAGATTATATCTGAACTCACGTTCACGTGCATGATTTGCACAAGCATTAATTTTTTTGACAGATATTGCTGAGGAGGGCAGTACGTCAAGATGACCATAAAAATAAATAATAAAGAGAGGAAGCAATAAGTACAACCTACAAACAAGATCTAAGTGTGTATGTTTAAAGTACATAAGAACTTTCAAATAAATAAGTATAGGTGCTTATCGCAAATATCGTCAGCTCGTAAAAACTTTGATCTCTTATAATCTACCCATTCCCTGGAGACAAATGAAATAGTCAGCCAGAGTTGAAGAGAACACTACGTAGGCGTAATTAAACTGATGATTTGTGGAAGACAGGTGTGTCCCCGACGATGATGGATAGAATCAAGCGGATGATGATTGTGTCTTACGTAGGGTATACCTGGCGTTGAAGGGTTATTTTCAATTCCAAGTCGTCGTGTTTGGTTTCCCGAGGCCGTACCCTGTCACGCTCGTATAGGTCTTGAGAATTTCTAGGATCCACTTTCGGTTTGGACACGCTCACTTCCTTACGCACTCCAAACACTCCAATCCCCGGCCCAGCAGAGTGCCCACTCCTGGACAGCTGAACTGGACACGCATTCGGTTTAGCACCTTAAAACTCTGTCCTCTACCTATATATGACTCAGAATATAGAGCGTACGACATGTACCACCACGCACGTCACGCACCACCACGGCACAACAACACTCACGGGAACAACTACGGATACTATACGTGGGTTTCACCTTAGTATAGGCCTGGGTCTGGGATAGGCTAGCTAGAAATCAAGGACACTAGTAATATATATATATTCTCTAGGACTTGAGGAGGTGTCTACACTTTTCTTTCGGATCTCTAAGTAGCAGTCCAGGACGTAGACAGTCCGCAGTCTCGCGGGTCGCGCCTCGCCTGAATTATATTATACACTTAGGGGTAAATGACCCAATCACTGCGCACTCAACGGTAACTGAAAATAAGAAAAACAGACTGAAAAATTTGGGTGCTTGGATATTGTAACACGTACGGACATTAATAACATTCAATCCAGAATCATACTTTACATCATGACATTTATAATTGTTTAACTGAGTGACTCTAAACGAATCTAACCTAAAAAACTTTGTAGTCGTGAGTAGTGATTGGTGCGCAGCAATTGGGTCTAGGGCTTCAGCATGAAAACCTTATGGGAGATACCCGCGCAGTAATTGGGGGCGCAGCGACTGGTGCTAATTTTATAAAACCGTGCGCAGTAATACCAGCAAGTGATATCAGCACTAAAACAATTATTTAAAAAAAAAAAAGTTACTTAACAGAAAAATGTTTGTCGTTTTAATCGCAAAAGATGCTACAGATAAAGATTAAGTAAAACTGGTTTAATTTACATCGAAAAACATTGAGAAATGAGAAATTTAGTACAATCAAAAATTTCAGTGCGCAGTAATTGGGTCATTTACCCCTACTTTATATTTACATCTATATGAGTACTGGATCACTTTTTTAGAATAAGTGCACACACACACACATACTTACTTCTACGCAGTGTGTTTTCAAGATATTTTTTTTTTTCGTATTCGTGGCTATCTTTTTTCTCGTATAATCGGCGGGAAAATATGAAAAGTCGAACGTAATATCAAAGTTCAAAAACGGATAGTAAAGTATGTTCAAGATGAATAAGTTTTACTAAATTTTCATTGTTGTAGAATTTTGGGAAAGAATAGGATCGAATTGTTAAAAAAAATAACCCATCGATTGAATTGCTCTGCGTGCAGTGAAACGTATGAAAATTATATGTTACGATTACGTTGTGTGTTAGTACAAACGTGCATACAGCTGCATGTTAGCAGATTTTGTTTGATGAAACAGTTAGAAACGTGTGTACGATATATATAAATATGTTTTTTCAATTTTTAATTTCGTCAGTGTACCGCTCCATAATATTTTTTTGGCAGTATTGCTGGATTATCTTAATCCAACATGGCCGATTTCAAGTTATATGTTAGATTTACTTATCACTTTAGTTCCAAAAATGACTCATTTTAAATACGTATCACTTTGATGTTGTTCTGCTGTGAAAAAAAAAACTCACGATCCAATAATATAATTGTTGCGCAGAAAATAAACCTATTCATCATTGTGTCACTGCCCAGCATCATTGAGTCGATTGCGCAAATCGATCGCTAAGCAAAAATGTATTCTTAAATCTTCACAATTGCATTTGTTTGTATGAAAAATACAAATCTCTCTGTTACACCCAACAGAGTGACGAGAAAATTAAGTATACCTTTTATCGCCATCACTACTAATTTGACGATGTGTCATCAAAACGACATCGCATTCTTGTCATTAAACTTTCGACCGTTGAAACATTAAAATATTACACGAAAGACATTCTAGTCTTTTGTCTAACCTCCTTGGCCCAGCCATATTTTTATCAAGATTCAGCTTTTGGCTACCTTTAAGAGATAAAAAAGACTCGAACATTACCTTCTGTTTAATTCCGGCGGTAGTACGTTCCAGTCGTCATTATACGCCCACATGCTGCACCACAAACGAGGCAAAAACAAACGAAAATCACGTTTACTTGCTCATGAGACAAAATAAAACAACACGAAAAAAGTCAGCGGCGGATTGTCACACACCTACTCGTCGCGACACCGATTTCGTGGCTGAGACAGAAAATGCTTGAGGGGATTTGTTATCTCTTATCTCGGTCTCATTGGTATGAGATTCATATCAGTATATTAATGTACAGTGTACAAATTTCTAGTATCACTTCGTCAACTTAGCCCATCGCTTCAAGACATAATTTTTCAAATAAGAGTTTTCATATCGAATTGTATAGAAAACACCTTTGACGGCTCCTTTTCAAATATAGTCAAGCGGTTTTTGCTTGAAATTATTCAAAAAACTGTATCATGATCGTGTAGAAAACAATAGTTTTAATTGATCCTTGATTAAAAAACAAAATAATATTTATTAAAGATATATATACGTGTGTAAGCATAAATATTTACGTTTAAAGGGCGATATGAAATATGAATGGAATGATACTATGTGAGGGAATTATTGTCTTGATTTCTAGGTGGCCTTATTTCACTATTCCTTTTGATACAATCGACTAGCCAACGTATACCTTCATCAACTCCTTCTCTACAAAAAAATGAAAATATTTTAATTGTTACAGAACAATAAAATAGTGTTGATCTCACAAAAACTGGCATACCCAGTCAGAGCAGATACAGGCATGACCATGCAATCTCTCCTTCCAATTAAATGTGCATTCTGATTAAAAATAGGCTTCACTTCTCTGACTCCCATGCAATCAGGAATATCTTGTTTATTTGCCAATACTAACAACGGAACTCCTTGGAGATGTTCTGACGATATCACTTTATCTAGAATGTAATATAATTTAGATAACACACAAGTGTTTGTTATATTACACATGAGAAAAATATCATCATAATTATTCATACCAAAGACTTCTTTAGAAAGTGGTATCCTATCTCTATCAGAGGAATCAACAATGTATATAACGGCATGTGATTCAGCATAATACTATAAAAAAAAACAAGACATATTTAAACCAACTGACACTTAGGTATTCATTATAAATTCGGAAAAATAAAACGATATTTCTAGAAGCAACAGTACAGTTAAAACTGGTTACTTTAAGAGAAAAAAAAGGATGAAAGGTATAGCAAGTGGGAACTATACGAGTTTGAATGCCGTTATGTTGTCTAAATCTAATAATCTTAAAAAAATTGATACCTTATCCCACAGGGATTGTAATTCTTCTTGGCCTCCAAGATCCCAAAAATTAAGTCTCACGCCCCCAGTGTCAATTTTTCCAATGTTTAAACCTACAGTCGTAGTTATTTTGCGTAAATTCATGCCCTTATAATTTTTCGTCAACTTTGTTTTTGCTGCTTCCAAGTATGTCTAAATATTGTAATAACAGATAATTAACTGTGAGGTTAGCTTAGCTATATTAATTTTTTCTTACAGTTTTTCCAGCGTTATCGAGTCCTAATATTACAACAAAGTACTCGTCCTTTTGGACGAGGTATCTGTAAAAACCACTGATTAAAGTGTACATTTTGAACAAGAAATTTTCTAATCACGTCATCTTTGAAAGAACAATCGTGTTGTGTGTTTGAAGCTGTTTCAACACATATTTATATACCTATAGGAGTACTGAATAAGAAAAAGACAGAAACACTGCCAACACTGCGACAGCTGATTTTAAATGTACTTTCACACACTGGACGTCAAAAGTCAAAACACAAAACATGCCAAAAAACACAGTCTGCATTCTGAATTTTATGCATTTTCTATTTTTTTTATTCATTCGTTCATATAGAAGAAGAAATTAAAATATATTAGTAATGGTATCAATACACTTTATTATATGTATTAAAAACTGTAACAATCATTTCATTACTAATTATTTACAGTGGATCAACAATAATAGTTGATGACGACCCTGTACGAAATAGAAAATCTGTTTATTACAACGAAACAGATTAAAATTTTGTAAATGTCACTCGTGAGTAGGTATTATTGGTAATATAATGAAAAATAAAACATGTTTTTAAAATAACAATTACAAATAATTATGAATATAAACAATTATAAATAAAGTGGCTTTAATTAAAAAAAGATTATTCATACTTATATAGACACCATAGCCAAAAAAATGTAGTTGCAGTAAGTAGCTTTCGTATACTCAATCAGTAGATATATAAACAATTATGCAGGGAAAGTATATTTCAAATAAAGTGAACTCATAATAATTATTGTATATATTTATATAGGGCCAATAGTACGTTACGTTACGTCAACGATATTCAAAAATCGACGGCAAAAATTGAAGCGCAACGTAGCTCTCTGTAATTAGCCGAAGCGAAGCAAAGCAAAGAGAGATATGATATGAGCTCATATTCTGCTCATAGGAGCAAATTATGTTGACAAATGATCATCAACCCATTTCTTACAGGTATTTAACTTATTACTGATACTTATCCTAGAATTTTTTATAGCTTCTGCCAATGAGAATGAGAGATTGAGAGCGTCGGTCGGTCATTGGCGTCATCGCGTGTAAGTATAGTGTCGTCATACTCGTAAACTCATTACACAAGTTTATAAGTACCTATATACATATTATGTAGTGTGTACTTACATCAGGGGATCGGTGATAGTGGGATTTTGGTATAATTTTTCGGAGTTCATCGCCGTGGCAAATATTTTTATAAGGAGAATAACATTTAAGTAGTAAGTACACCACCGACCCCGGATGAGACGCTGACCGGCTGACATCGACATCAGTCGATATTTTCAACCATCCGTCCTCTACCTATAAGTATATATATAACCTACTTCATCCTCCATGCAATAACCTGTGTGTAACCATACTTACTAATGAAAAATCATCGGTAGATCATCTCTGTACAATCCACGTAAGTGAGACGCGCGTGTCAGGCGTGGGTGTGTGTGTATAAGAATTAGAAGCAGAAGTGGCGAAGAAGAAGGGAAAAAGCCAAAAGGAGTACGTGAAAGAGAGGGTTGTCGTCGTCGTCAAAAGAGAAGACGGCAGCAGCAGTCACGAATTTAGGTAAATGTTGATATTTGTCGCTTTGGTCGATTAAATCAAACTTGCTCTTATCGAGTTCATGCCGGTTGTTTAATTTTGATTTTACGAAATTTACCTTTTCGTGTACAAAGTCTGATACTTGTAAGCATTCATTTACTTAAGTACACACAACCTATTTGGACTCTCTCTAGGAGGACACGTACACCGTATAATATGTGTAACACTTTTTGGAGCACCGCGCCCCTTCGGTTTGTAAAATAAACGTTTTCTCCCCTGTATATTTTTTGTGCTCCCCTTTTTTAGGTTAAGCGCATATTTTACCTCCTGCTCGTATACTTGTCATGTTATATACGTTTCATGTAATAGCTGCGATATCATGTACTAGTTATCATCAACGTGACTCATTTATAAATAATTATTGTGGAATATCCAATTAGCCAGCTGTGTGCAGCCAGTTCTTAGGTCTCTCTTTTTTTTTTGTCTAACTGTCTCTGGTTCTCTTCCTCTTGTCTCGTGCCACTATTTTGTTGTCAGCTTGGTGATAGTGCAGCAGGTATTTCATTAAACTGGTAATATAAACTTAGTTTTTCTTGTATAAACGATGTCTTTTATCGGGTACAATAAAATGAAATAAAAGAAACATCACATGTGTATTACATCCTTATTTTTGGTTTTTAAAAGGCTCATTACATTACACCAGGAAAATCATATACTTTATACGCCGATGAATAGTCTGAATTTTCTACAGTACAGTCATTTAGTATCATCAATTAATGGAGATTGGAAAAATTGTACTATTGTATGCTGTTAATTTATGAATGGTCTTTACCTAGGATAAGGGCACTTGAAAAGCTTTGTTTTGCCCAAAGATCAATCATTTTACTTACATTGCAGGAAAATACAATGATGCAGGATGAAGATCTCGGTGGTCCTGCCAGAAGAAATGTGTTCAGTAAGGCAGTAATCAGAATATCACAGGTCTGTAATGTTCGTACATTCTGTATTAATTTGATGACAAAACAACACTTATACACTTCAAATTCACATACATGCCTAGTATAAAAATTAATGATGACTGATTGTATTTTTTTTAAGGTATACCAAAGTTGGTTGGACCAGTGGACGCCACATGTTGTGTCGAGATGGGCATTTGCTGTATTTTTAATCATTCTTTTCGTTATTCGCATACTGTTGGCACAGGTGAAAAATTCTTAACACATTTGAAAAATTGTATACCCATATTTCAATCTTTAAAAATTATTCTCTTATGTCAACAGGGTTGGTATATTATTACGTATGCATTAGGGATTTATCACCTTAACCTGTTTATAGCATTTCTTACACCAAAAAATGATCCAGCGATGGACTTTGATGGCAAGTTTTTCTCTATTATTCATAAGCTAATCAGTTTAATATAATTATTTAGTATGTGTTCAAATTTCTATTAAGTTATCTAATTTACAGATGCTGATGGCCCACAGTTACCTACAAGGTCGAACGAAGAATTCAGGCCATTTATCAGGAGATTACCTGAATTTAAGTTTTGGTATTCTGTGTGTAAATCCACAGTCATTTCCTTAGTATGCACCTGTTTTGATTTCTTTAATATCCCAGTATTTTGGCCAATTCTTGTCATGTATTTTATCACATTAATGTGCATAACGATGCGGCGTCAAATTAAGGTAAATAGTCTTTACTTATTTTGCATTAGAAAAATTATTTCAAATATACATTTATGATTAATTAATGAATCTATTTCCAGCATATGATAAAATACAGATATCTGCCTTTTACACACGGTAAACCGAAGTACCAAAATCATGTTGATGGTGCAAAATAATTGCCAATTGAAAAATGTGAAAGTATGCCTGCTGATGATACAAAAGTGTAAATGAACATAAATTTCCATAAATATACATTTATACATATATATATTTATATATATTAGGTTTGTTTATTTTTGAAAACTATTTTGACTTGACTATAAATGACTTTTTGTTTTTGAATGAAAACTTAAAATAGTAAAGTCATAGCATTGTACTAGGAGATGTTTTTAACATTAATTTCAAAAAAGAAAATAAAAAAGTGAGGTATGAGTGTTATAAATAATCGTTTTGTGAAGTCAACTCCATAGTGAAATGTCGAGTGTGAGATGTTATATTTCAAAACAGAATTGTCGTAATATATTTGTAACATAAATCTTGTACAAAGTAAAGTAGGTTTTGCATAAATGTAAACAAGATAAAGATATAAAAAAGCAGTTGTTGTAATGTTGTATCAAATTAACTTCAACAGAATGATGAGACACAATGAATAATTCAATTTTACTGCTTACATTTATTCAATAAAAATGAATCGTTTCAAAATAAAAATTTGTAGTAATCTTGTTAACATTAAAAAAGTACTCATTGTAATCGAGTCAAGAAAATGACTAGTTAATTTTGAAAGTTTTGAAAATTTCACCCCTTCTCGTGGTAAAAGAACGACGTATAACAAGTTTTATCTTGCAAAAGATGTTTGTTACCAACAAATAAAAGATTTTAAAAAATTTTCTCCTTTCCAAGCGTAGACTACTGAAAATAAAGTCACTGTAGATTAAGAACCGAAAAATTACAGTCTGGATTGAAAATATTAACGTATTGAATGAAGTTTCTAAATGTATTAATTAATTTTTTTATAAGTTAGATTCATTGTAAATTGCACAAAAATCGTTTGTAGTAAGTGGTGAATTTTTATTGGGGGAAATAATATTAAAAGTTGTTCTTTTTTGATTTAATAAAAGAGTGTGATTTATTACATTATAAGTTTTTTCGGTAACATCCTTTTTTTATTAAACAATTATAAAATCATCCTTACTCAACATATGTAAGAGATTTTATGGAAGATTTGCGTTTCTTTTTTGAAAAAAGTAACCATATATCCATTCTACTAGAAAAACTGGAATGCTATTTAGACAAAGAATAGTTAAAAAAAAGTCATGTTTTTTTCCTTACGCTTAATTTGAACAATGCATTTCATACTCAGTACATAATTTCAATATCAGCTTTTGTGTTCATTTATACAAGAAAAAAAATACAAAATTCTTGTATTATTGTAATAATATATTTATTTAAAATCATCTATTTAGTTGATCATTAATTTCTTAATATTCAACAGAAATACGGGAAACAGCACTTTGGTTAAAAGTATATAATTAATTTCAGGGTTTAGCTTGGAGCAGCTCGAAGTGCTCCTTTTTTCTATAGTCAATTTAATAACTTCAATACATTAGAGTATAGAAAAAAGGAGCGCTCCGAGCTGCTCCAAGCTAAATCCCGAACAAATCTAACATACATAATTTATTATAGTTCTTTTTAATAATTTGAAAATAGTAACAGTGATAAAGTTACAATGATGTTGTAAGGTACATGAAACTATTGTATATGTTCAAAAAAACAACATTTTATTCGTTTAAATGCGTTTTATAAATATCAATTTACAATTTCAAACTTAGATTAATATAAGTGTTTATAACTGAAGCTACTGCATAAAATATTTGAATCCTTTCTTTTGTTTTTTTACATGATTTCCCACTTCTGCAATTTTCATTATTTATTCACCCATATAATTATTATCACCAAAAGTTTGATAAAATTCGAGATGTATATATAAATCCTCGTAATGATTATTTTCATAGATGTCTGTACTCAGGTAGTAAAAAACAATGAAGATTTAGGTCAACAAACCATATAATTTATGGAGATTTTATTATTTTCACGGTTAATATATTATGTACTTGTACAATTCGGAAAAATTTATTGATTATACTACATACTGTGTATTTTTGCAACTTAACCGCTTTTTTTTACAAAAGTTTCGTACACATTATTCAATCTCAAATAAAGAATAAATTTAATCCTTGAAGTTGACCTATTAGCTTACAAATGTATAATTAACTGTATTTTATACCGATGGGAAATAAGCTTAAAAAAAAGTTAAAAATAAATAATACTTACCGTAGGCGTTATTTTATTTTCTGATTTGTTAAAATTATTAGAAATAAATAATAACCTTTGTTCCAATCATTCCAAAATTCATTTTTAAATTTTTAAATTTTTACAAAAAAAATCTATTAAAAGTTTTTTAATTACAAAATTAACAAAAAACCATTACTTTCGTATTTTATTGTGTCTACTATTTATAGCCAGCTCAGATTTATCCATGGCCAGGAGTCCCAGTAAAACATTTTTTTGTTTAACAGTTTTTTAATTGTTTTATTTCTAAAGAAAAAAAAAATTTATTTAGGGCATGGACCGCATTTCCCCTACTCGTTAACGACGATGATAACTCCATAATACGTTGGTCCTTTTTTCTCGTCGATGAAACTATACAGCGTCGTAATAATATCATTTGATTTTTTTTTAAACTGCTCTTTAATTCGTAATTTCAAACATGTGTTAACATAAAAAATGTACATGGAAAAAAGGTATTCTTATACTTACATAACATCGAGCTTATTAAAATACCATCAATGCAAAGTATATACGAATTATGTACATATTTAAAAGTAATAACAAAACTAGTCATACGCGTATAATTAACTTTTTACACATTTATGCACAGATTTAATGCTTATCGTAACGAAGTAATAATTTTTTTTTTTTGGTATACAAGAGGATGATTTCCCGTGCGGTAAATTGTATCACCGTTGGTCGCATCGCGTTGGCTGAGGATCGTGAAACAAAAAATGATAACCGATGATAACTTTATTTTTGTTCACACCATTCAAGAAATACACCCAATCATCGGAATGAAACACGAATTCAATCGGAATGGCTGTGCACATTTTTGTTTTTCTTCCACCACGCGGACAGCGAAAAGAATAAAATCGCTTCGTCATCATATTATACGTTTAAGGTACTGCAGATTATTTACAATGCGAGTGAAACACCGCACCTCAAGAGAGGGGGAGCTAAAGCTTTGGCACTCGTTTTTCGAAACAAAAAAAAAGTACCACGGACAAGCTCAAACAGGACCCCTATTCCGCTGCAACGTTTGAACCGCGTCATCGAGCACCGATCCATTGGCGTTGGCGCCGGTCAAACGACTCGACTCGTCCACGGTGTCTGTCGTCGGCAGCACGTGGTTGTTATTGGCTGTGGGGGTCGTGGGAGCTTCGTCGAGGGCCGGCTCTACGGCGGAGCTGGTGCAGGCGTTGCCGTTGCTACCGCCGGCTGGTCTGCTGTATAATCTGAAAGGTAATACAGGCTTCAATAAATTATTTTTTTATTGGTTAGGTATCCGCGCGCTGGAGTAACCCCGGACCCCCCCGTTGCAGGGCAGCCACCGGCCTCGGCCTGTATTACCTTATGCTCTCAGTGCGGGAGCGGGGCGCCCAGTGGGCGTAGTAGTGCTGACCGGTGCCGAGGCTCCGGGCGGTTCGCCAGCGCGAGTAGTGGTGGCCCACGGCGTTTCGCACCTCGCTGTTCAGGAAACAGTAGAACAACACCACCAGCAGACCCTGCCAACGTTTTTCGGTCTCTTTTAATCATGACATTTTTTTTTTCTCCATCGTTCGCAGTGTCTTTTAATAATGAACATCGCGACAAGTTGTCGATCCACCAGCATACAGTTTCAACTCAAATCTTCGTTCATGATGTTATATGAATCTTTCAAATTTATTACATTTTTCTATCCTGGTTTTCCGGGTTATATTCAAAGTTGTTTATGTACCTATCTTTACATCTAAAGTTACTTTGTAAACCACCTAATGGTAGCCTGCACTCAAGTATTTTTCGCCCTTTTTTTAGCTCACCTAATTACTCCCACGTCTCAATAAACCTAATATAGTAACACTGCTCATTGATGACGTTAACACGAATATAATCCACCCCCTGGTATGTTTTTCGCATAAATTTTCAATTAACGATATAGGTTGAAATCTACATTAAAGGAAAAAAACAAACAAAAATCATGCCCGAAAACTTGACAATGTCTTGCACCTTTCCATTTATTATTGTTGTTGTCATTTTTGATTTTTGCGACAATTAATGTTGTTAGCCTTCTGGGTGAGCGATTTATGCTTCAACTCGCGCGTATATATACAATATCGGTCACGTGATTTTCGATTCAGCGGTAATCCAAGTCGAGTATCCGAGCTGATGTTAAATAGTCTGATAGGGAAAAAGAAAAAAAAAAAAGCAATCTGTACATCACAGTGGGTGCAGAGTGGCATGGTATCGACACCCAACGCTCGAGGGGGAAAAGGCTACACACGGTATAAGTCAGTCGCTCATCAGAGTGAGGTCACGAAATCTCAAAGGGTCTTTCATATCTCGCATGAAGAAGGTGCTTTACGACGTCTGATGTCTACTGTCGGGTACTACTATCTCCACCGTATATGTATATACAACAGTGTGCTATACTTGAACTGACGCTGGACGTTTCGATCCACTCCCTTTTTTTTGTGTATAAATATAATAATAGTACCCAATATACCCAAGTTTGTCTGGCCTATATTTTTCACGGTGGTTTTTTTTTTTCATCCCTATACCTCGTCGTGGTAAATATCCCTCCCCTTTTTTTTCTCGCCCAAATTTCACTTTGCACGTGCACCAAAATATACTTTTTCACATTTTTCCCTACAGAGACACAAATACATCGGAGGATAACGAGGAAAAGCAAAAAAAGGAAAGAAAAACACCGTTACCCGTCTTTTGTAAAAAAAAGAAAAAAAAAAAAAAAGGTTCGTTCGATCTTCCAATAGCAACGAAACAAGCTTTCATTCCAATAATAACTTTGATTACAGGGGGAATAACAGTATGTGGTTAACCATATATACTGCAGTCCCACGGCAATCAAAGTGTACACACTTGCGAACATATATATAGTTACAGGGAAGGAGCTGTGTGTGTACGTATATATGTATAGTAGTTATTGCGGAGTGTAAAAAGAGATAGAGAGAGAGAGAGAGAGAGAAAGCATATGTGTACCTGGGACGAGAGCAACACGGCCCTGGCGTAGGAGAACGCGTTGGCGACTTGTTCCTCCGGCGGGCCATACACGACCAACATGTACGTGACCCCGAGGAGGGGTATCAGCACCAGCAGAGCCTTGGCCGCTTTGCGGTACTGCTGGGTCTCCGCGTTGTTCGCCGAGCGCAGCTTCGTTATCAGCACCTGCGCCAATTGCATCTCAATCAACAAAAAAACAAAAAAAAAAAGAGGAAAAGATGCTCTACCAACCCCCTCTCACACTCGCGATAAACCTTTGTACCCTGCTTTGAAAGCTCATTAAAACAACCGACTCTGACTCCACCCTCGTGCGATCCCATTAAAATGACCGTAACTCCCCTACCCTTCCCTTAAAAATATAGGGACCCCAAAGCCGGTCAATTAATTTAAGCGGATAAACGTGCGCGTGACGCGTGAAAAAAGGAAAAAAAGGAGGAAAGGAAACAAAAGAGAGCTATGTCAAGCTTGGAGCGCACCGTCATTATATCATCATCATCTACTCATCTATACGCTATAGCTTGTATAGACGCGACTCACCCACATTATCCTGGTGAGAAAAATGACGTTCATGCTGAGGACGACGAGCGCCGGTGCCTGATAGAGCCAATCAATCGGACGGTGCACCATCCACGGGCAGTGCTGCGATAAAGCTGCCTCCTGTAGGGGCAGAACAAACTCCATACATATGGAACAAAGACCGGCGCTGATGCGTATGTGTGTAGGTGGTGGCGATAATAAGGGATCGTTTGCTTTTTTTTTTTTTTTTTTTTTTTTTTTTTTTTTNATTTTCCTTGAATCGATAATCCAAGGTTGGGCGCACGCAAAGTTTCCACTCGACTAACTAGAAAGAAAGGAAGACGATTGTCTCGGACTTGAAACAAAAAAGGCACCGAAACCTTCGACTTTGAATGCAAACGAGTCAGACCATAGCAAATGGAGAAAACAAGGTTACGATTTTTCCCGTATACCTTAAGGGGAGGGTTGGAAAAAAAAAAAAAAAAAAAAAAATCAGAGGATTGGTTTGGTACGGGGGTGTTGGGAGTTAACGCGTAGACACAAGCTCTTGTTGACGAAAAGCTTGAAAAATGATTGTTTTTGTTTTCTTCTTTGTTTCTACATTGGAATTTGTCGTACCTGAGTCCCCGGAGTTTCCAGACTACCCCAAGTGGCTTTGGCTGTTCCCCAAATGACCGTCACTACGAACGGCAGACCTGTAAATTTCATGCTGTCAGATTATATGATTGTACACACGCACGTTAAACACGTACCCCAGCCGATGAATAGGCACAGCTTCAGTTTGATGTTGTCGCCGGAGAAGGTCTTCACTACCAGTAAGTACAGATACAAACCTGTTTGGGAGACAAAAGTTTTTTTGATACGTGGATAACGTGACGTTCAAAGGGATTAATTAAATTGTTGTCCTAGTTACCTTCGATGAACATCCAAAAAAAGTTGGTCAACTGGAAGTAGTGGTACAAAACGTAGAAAGCTACGCACAGGAGTTTGTTCGTGCGAAAGAATAACTACAAGATTCGTGTGTTATTTTCATGTGTTTCCGTACAAAAATATCAACTTCAAATAGATTATACATATAGTGGATTGTAGTCGGTACCTGATACGCGCTCATTATGATCCACAGGGCGTCCGCCAAAATGTAAGTGATCATTAAATTCTTGTGTATCGTGTTTCGAAGGCATTTCAGTTCCCTGCGAAAATTGGCTCCATTAAATTTTTGAACAAAAAACGTTCATTTTTTAAACTTTAAGGAAGTTTCTTGCAAAATTTTCATTCGTAACTATCGTATTTTTAATTGTATTCGAGGTATCAATTATTTACTCAAAACGTACTTTTTTAAAGAGAGTCTTGTGCTTTTCTATGTCATGCGATGAAAAAAAAAACACTCTCTCGCATAAGCGTACGTGTCATGATTAATTTCTCGATAAAGACGAGGCTATCTATCGTTTTTTAAATTTCGCCATAGCGTTTTAAATAAAATCATTATATTATAATTTTTT